CCAGTGATTTGAGTTTGTCTAAAATCCAAATGTCCTGTTTCATTTAGATGTTTCTCTTTGTGTCTCCGTAGTGTGCCGGTGCCTCGACCATATCTCCAGACATAATCTATTTTTGCAAATGTTGCATATAGTTTTTCCATCCTATTCATTTACTGTAAAAATTTGCCACACCTCTGATATTTGTTTTTTTCCTAGAATTTTGAGATGATCCAACTTCTACAACATTATCATCTTCTAAATTTATTGAGGAGCAACTATCATTGAAAATAGGATTTTCAAAAGAAAAATCGCAAGAATCCATAATATAGTAGTATTAAACAGTTTAATAGTGAGAAGAAAGAAATATAATAGAGATGATGATATTTGCAATTGAATAATTGTAATTGAATTAACAAGATTAATTTTTTGGAAGGCAGTAACAAGTATAATTTTTTGGAAGGTTACAAGTGAGATAAATATTACCAAAATTTTCAAATTTTTTTAATTTTTTTTTCACGGGCCAGAGGGTTAATCGCAGCCCGTGAAAGTGTAACCCACGAAGCCCATGGGTCACATCTCCTTGACCCATGAACCGCCCGTCCATCTGACACCTCTAAATGTTCGTAACAATTGGCCATTGGCATGGGAGGACCCGGGGGGTCCTAGGGGGCACGTGCCCCCCAATTTTTGAGTTTTTTTTTTTAAAATATAAAATCATGTTTTGTATCGATTGAAATATAAATTTTAATTTAAATCAAAGTTAACAATTAATTTTAATAACATATTTCATGAATTCCATAGCTATTTAACTTTTATCAAAATTTACTAAAATTTTAATTTTAATTTCCATCAAACAGGGGCAAAATCACAATAAATTTAATTTTGTTCTTTTTCTCTCGTCTTTTAACAAAATCTTAACTCTCCATCAAATAATGACGAAATATTACATTCTTAATACCATTTTGAAGTGTTCACGATCTAGTTTTTTACGTCGATAATGACGTACGAAACGATTAATCGTAGTAAATGCTACGACTTGTCAAATTAAGCCGTTCAAAATTAGTATTTCGAAAATTTCGATAATATGATAATTTTAAAAATCATTCGTTGATCGTACACTAATCGAATCTACAAATTGCTTATATCATCTCAAAACTTATTTCCAGAACTACATTATAGACATATCAAATAATTCAAATAGATATCGAAAATAGTTAAAAATGCGTTAAACGTGAGTTTTAAAGGAATACGTTTAACTCGCATTTTCTTTAAAAATATTTAATTATTTCATTAACATTTATTATTTTTGCNTTCGAGAACTACATTGTACATATCAAATAATTCAAGCAGATATTGGAAATAGTTAAAAATATGTTAAACGTGAGTTTTAAAGAAAGACGTTTAACTCGCATTTTTTTTAAAAAAATTCAATTATTTCATTAACATTTATTATTTTTGCAATACAAATTTCTCAATGTAATTTTCATCATTTTATTAGGAAATTTTTTATGTAATATGATATAATTTTTTTTCGAAATTTTACATCTGAAAAAGTCATCTCATATAAATTTTCGAATGCAAAATTACAGGGGGTATGATTTTTTTGGACGTAAATTTTTTATTGTAAAATTTCTCTTAATTTTTTTGTAAGTTCGATTGTGTCTTCCGAACTTTTAAATTCTGCGTTCACTTCTAGCCATTGGGCTATATTCAACTTATGTGCCCTTTAAAGAGGTTTTGAGTTGAAATTGATGGGATTTGAAAAATTTTAGTTGTGACCTAACCTATATATGCTTACAATACAAACTAAATTCAACATTCAATTTAAACGCTTCTTAAGGAAGGTCTTGAGTTTGAATCATTAAGGACGTGAAAAAAATCCCATCTTGGAACCCAACCCCACTGGTAATGCATATAAAACAAATCGAATTCCGCATGGACCATGTCTGGGCTCGATAGTCAAATCCAATGACAATGTTTGGCACACGGTTGTAAACAACATTGCAATAAAAAATAACTTCTCAAGTACTTTTTCTTCAAGAATCTTGTCCAATGTTTGCCCAGTCAGTGTGTTTCCCCCATTCACATCAGTCAGATTTGCATTGTTTTTCATGTAATTTGATTGGGAACTTGCATCATTTCAGAAATATATCACGACAAACTTTTTTTTTCAAATATCCATAAAATTTCAAAATGTGAACTACACAACAGCCTAGCTTCAACGACAAGGCTTATAGAAAATTCTATTTGTACAATCTCGGTTAACAACCTCACATGTGTGCAGAGTCTGCATGTTTAAATTTGTTTTTTTTTCTTTAAAAAAGTGAACCTCTCATGTGAGTTGTTGTCAACCTCGATTATACAACTACCATGACTACAAAACTTATTCCCATTGTACAGAAAGGAAACTACAGAAATTGACCAGATGAGAGATAAAGAGTGGGCCCCATCGTGTATTAAAAAAGAAAAAAATTTGCGGTACCCATGTGCATGTGTGGGAGTGTTTTGTCCAGATTTTGTTGGGTTCTCTTCTGATCATATAGCATGTCTCGAAGGACAATGCCCTACTTTTACAAGCAGTTGTTTGAACAATATATGGTTGCTTCATCATCCTTGGAAAGAAGAGTGTTATTGTGCGGTTAAAACATAAAAGATAATCACCAAAATTCCATTACGTTTTAAGTGCTCTTACAGACACAAACACTACATGATAAAAACTCAATACAGACCATGCGTTCAAGAAGACAACATCAAAAACTACTGCAGAAACACCTGCTGTAGTTACAACCTTTTGTCACTCCCAAGAAAATCCCTTCCCATTAAGGAACAAACTGCAACTGCAAACAACTCAACTCAATTATTTTAACTTCAATTGTGTCCAGATGGGAAAATTCCTGCTACAGTGCGAAGAGAACTTGTTCCCATATGCACTTAGAGCTTCACTTCCCTGTCAAATATCCAGCTAAATGGGATGATGGGTGCTTGCTTGGCCCTTCCTTGAGCTCTTTCCTCTAGTCGTCTTATTCTTGGAGACAACCCACAGACGTAATCCTGTGCTTTTCGCCCTTCTGCAGATAGTCCAGATAGATCTGCCACTTTCCATCGACCAACCAAAAATTCTAGAATGTCTGCATAGTCTCTAGCAGCGTAGACACCAAGCCGCTGAGCAACGGCCGAAAAGTGTTCAAAAAGGTTATCATCCCGGCCATCATACATCAGGTGTGCTGGCATGGAGATTTTCTTCCTCATCATGTCAGAAAAAGCAAGCACGGTTCCATCAGGATCAATTTCAAATAGCTTTTCAACTATGTTGGTGTATGCAGTTTCATGACGCTTCTCATCCGAGGCTATTGTACCACATATTTGAGCAAGCTTTACGTCCCCATGCTCCTTAGCAAGCCTGGCCGTGTTCCCATGGCAGATGAATGTAGCCCTTTCTTGAAATGATGTATAGATAAATCCAAGGTAAGGATTGTTTTCCATACGAGGAACCTGGAAATGTTTGGGAAGTATAAGAGATAGAAACGATAGCATAATTGTGTCGATTTAAAATATCT